TGTAAAGAAAATGGTGTAAGCTCCCTCCTATCTCTACCATGGATGGTTCCCTGGAGTTACTACCGCCTATTTATCACTGAATAAAGGACTGAAAGGGATCATAGGCAGCAGCTGCCCCAATCTACCATACTCTTAAGGACTATAAAGGCTTATAATTTACCCAGAGTTAAGGAAATAGATATGATAGCATAAATAGCTATTTAATAAACATTTGTCTGTCTATACTGGACATTTTTTTGTCTCATTTATTATCAAATTAAGTATTTAAGATTTGGGGGCCTTGACAAAGTCCAATTACTGCTGTCAGGTATTTATGTATAACAGACCTTTGAGAACTTCAGTAATACCTTTGTATTTAAAAGAAATTTCATTCTAGATATATGAAGTAATATAACATGTTTAATATAAAAATGAACAGTTCACATACCAGGACTTCTTGAATCCCTCAAGCAGGTAGGAGATTCCATATGAAGCAGGGCTTCAGCAGCTTCAATTGTCTTATCTGTACAGTGTGCATTACTGCTATGAACTGATGCTTCCACTAGGGGAAAAATAAGTTCTACTCAATTAAAAATGCACTATACCCATTAATAAACTAAAACACATTGCTATTTAAGAAATAAATATATTCATTCCTGAAAGGAAAATAAAAATAAATTAACTTCCATATGAATAACTCCAAATAAGCCATTGATACATATTAGTTTATACAAATTATTTACAGAAATAATTTAAAAACCAAAATCAGTTAGTATCTACACTTTATAAAATGAATGTTGATTATAAAGCAACCAATGATGCTAATTAGAAATTACTGAGAAGTTTCTGGACCTTATCTAAAGGAAAACAAAGACAGACCCCTGAAATTTGAACCCTGCATCAGTTTTAGGCCAAAACTTGGGGGGAGGGGCAGGGAAAGGATGGTTGTGGATTAACAATCCTGTGAGATCAATTATATATTTTTACCTATTGCCACTAAAGCCAGGGGCCAATACCTAGCAGAATTGGTCAGAAATACATCACATTTCTAAGTTTATTTAAAGAATTAGTTCAATTCTTATAGATTCTCCTGGGTGACTGAATACAGTTGGCCCTCCATACCCACAGGTTCCACATCCACGATTCAACCAACCGAGGATGGAAAATATTTGGGGAGAAAAAACTAAAAAAGAATACAAATAAAATAATACAGTATAACAACTATTTACGTAGCATTTACATTGTATTAAGCTTTATAAGTAATTTAGAGATGATCTAAAGCATATAGGATGTATAGGTTCTATGCAAATACTATATATTTATATTTATAGTATATTACATTTTATATTAGGGATTTGGGCATCCCCTGATTTTGGTGTCCATTTTGGGGTGGGGGGTCCTGGAACCAATACCCTGAGTATACCGAGAGACCACCGTACTCTGCCTGCAGATGGATAACAACATGAATTAGCTTCGGTGCCAGAGTACTTGGGAACTGTCTTCACAATAATCCTGTTCTCTTCAGAATCTCACTGGGCTTTGCTGGGTTTTAATATAAAAAAAGGTTTTTTTAAAGTTTCTGTATTTTTTTTCCATGAAGCCTTTTCTACTTCCATCACCCTTTGTATCTCTCTTCTAGCACTTCCTTTATGCTTTGTTGATTAAGTTATTTGTGAAACAATGTGTGCAGCAGTGGTTTGGGCCTTTAGGTCCAACAGCTTGGGTTCTAGTCTCTGCCACTTATTTCTGCTACTTGAGGCAAGCAACTTAATCTCTCTTAAGCTTCAGTTTCCTCTTTCACAAACAGGAATATTACTTACCTTATATGTTTTAACAATTAATGAAGTGATTTCCATAAAAAACTTAGCACAGTGTGTGACATATAAATAACAAGTCAATAAATGGTGATAATTTTTTATCACTTCTGTAAGATTATAAGCTCCTTGCGGTCAGGTGGGCTATCTTAACCCATCTTTGTATCTACTATAGTTCCTAATATAGACTTTTCATATAGTAGGCATGTAGGTATTTCTTTTATATATCGAATTAAGGACAATCCACTGATCTCACAGGAAATTGGCAATTCAAGAACAAATTTATTATCTTGACAATATATTAATTTCACATCCTGACTTAAAATATTGAATAGTTAACTTGGTAAGAGATCCTGAAACATGAATATGTAACAGTTTCTAATCTGATAGATTTTCTCAAGATGTCCCCTAAAGGAACTAAAAGTAAATGTTTATACAAATTTCACAAAGTCATATTACAAATTCATAAGTTCTACACACTAAACATGTGAATATTTTTACACTGTTTCCAGGAAACTTTTAATTGGGGAAAAAAAAATCCACTTAGTCTCAAAATTCAGCAAATGCTAAAGCCTCAGCCTTAAACAACAGTCATTTGGAGAACATTTATTTTAAAAATCCAGGGACTGTTTTACCACCTGTTGCACATCATCCACACTCCCAACCAAGGTACTGGGTCTCTCCAGTTGCTCTTTCCATTTATGGAAATCTGCTCAAAGCTAAATGGTTCCAGAGAGGCAGCCAAACCTCTAAGTAAATCTATCTTTAGGTGACCCTGCTTACTCTTATCTGCAGCTTCACTGAAGCAAAGGATTCAATCGCCCTTCTATCTCAACTTGAACAAACTTGGCATTATTAAGTATCAAACTTATTACCATTCTCAAGTATTTTTTTTCAAAATGCCTCCCTACAATACTCACATACACTACAAAACCTTGGAAAGCAAATTCTCAGGTTTTTAAAATTTGTTCTAGCAACCATTCTCTTTAAAGTCTGCTTGTGTTGCAATTTAGCTGTTGTCTTAGGTGCTATTAATAAACCATCCTGGGTAAACTAATTCCTTATGTAATTGTATTAAGACATACCCTAAAAACTCTACCGTATTAAAATCAGAACTTCAAATATACAATAATAATACGGCCACAGAATTTTACCAGATTTTAAAATGTTGTGAGTTATAAACAAAATCAAATCTGTCTAATATTTACATATTATGTACCCTGAATTCTTACAGTTGGAAGCACATTTTCAAAACCATGATTTCATGTTATTAAGCTTATGTCAGTGGAAATTATTTCTGAAAAGCTTTTTCTTATTTGTATTTCTGACCTCAACCTCCTCTTCTCCCCTAAGTTCAACATAATATATCCCAGAAAAATTTGTTATTACAGGGTAGAAGAAATAAAGCACATACAAACTTAATAAGAAAATGTACTCATTCATACTTTAAATTTAGGATGAGAATATAAAATATGCATAAATTACCTATGAATTATAAACCAGATATCTCATACTCTACATACATTCAATAAATGGTTGTCAAGCATTTACCGTGTGCCAGGCCCTGCGCTATAAACCTGAGATACAAGTGTGGCCAGGTCTCTGGCCTCATGAAGCTTGTTAAACTACTACAGGCTGAGTAGCCCTTATTCAAAATATGCTTGGGACTAGAAGGGTTTCAGATTTCAGAATTTTTTTTTTTTTTTGGATTTTGGAATATTTGTTTCATATACTTACCAGTTGAGCATCCCAAACCCAAAAAGCTCCAATGAGCATTTCCTGGATTATCATGTTGGCACTCAAAAAGTTTCAGATTTTGAATTTTGGATTTTCGGATTTGGGGGATGCTCAATCTGTAGTTCAAAGAACATGAAAAACATAAGTGGAAGTAAAATATTTCAAAACTAAAGTATAAAATAAGTTACTCTGTAACTTAAAGGCTTACAGGGGAACACTGACTTCTTTCCCTTTTTGATGTTTACTAATTTTACTTCTTGCCATTTTTATTTACTAACTCCATGTTAAACACAAACAAAAATCTCAGAGTCCTTTCTTAGATCAATTTACAATGATGTACCAATGACAGTTTCCAAGAATACTCAACCTATTTTGTATAAGTCAGCAGTATCTCTTTTTACTTTTGTTGACATAAGTCAACAAGTAATTTTTGATAACGGAAATTTAAGCTGGTCACAGGTGGCTCACGACTATAATCCCTGCTACTTGGGAGGCCGAGGCGGGAAGATCACTTGAGCCCAGGAGTCTGAGGCTGCAGTGAGCTATGGTCTTGTCACTGC